TATGTTGTGAGAAAACATTTGATACTGATTATGAGGCCGAGGGCCTGAGGTATGTACGCCACGAGGTGGCTTGTTTGATGTGAGGTCGAGGGCCTAGTGATGATGCCACGAGGTGGCTTGATATTGCATTTGGGCCGTAAGGGGCCCCTCCAGGAGTCTGCACACCCCCATTGAGCGCGGGTACCCATTGTGATGTGAGATTGAGCCCGAGGGGCTTGTATTGTTCTATGTGATTGCCCGAGAGGTTGGTACTGTTCTGAGATGTTGCCCGAGGGACGGATTTGTTGATATTGTGCCTGAGGGGCGATTCGTTATGTGTTTACTTTTTATAATTGACTGCCAATTACCTACTTAATTATTGAAAAAAGGCTTTTCATGAAACTATATTTGAGTTAAAGGATTTTTCCTACCTTTCACTGATTTACTGATTCTAAATGGTTTTAATGCTTCTTTATAGAATGTTTTGTGCCTTACGTGTTTTCTTATTTTCAGTCGTTTTTTACATTTGTTACTCACTGAGTTGGAGTACTCACTTTACTCCCTGCACCCCTATGTTCAGATTCGGGCGTTGCTGATCCTGCCAGTGCGAGTTGAGAGCTCCCGGCGGACATTCGGAGTACACGAGGTAGCTGCTTGACGTCCGTAGACCCTTGCCTCTACTCCTTTATCACTTCTATCTCTTTTCGGACAGTTGTACTAGTTTATTGACTTAGCGGATTTGTATTATGACATATAGATGCTCATGACTAGTGACACCCCGGTTAGGGCTGTGTTGGGTTGAACTTCCGCATTTTTATGATATTACCTGCTACTTAATATTATTAAATCATGTTTTATACTGCTTTCTTGTTGTTTAACTGTTTAAAAAGTGAACTGGGTTAGTCAACTGGCCTTGTCTTCACGAGAGGCGCCATCACGACCGGGTTCGAGTTTAGGATCGTGACAGTGGTCCAGAAATATTTCGTCTTTAAAAATAAATAACATCTCTACTACTCTAGATTGATTTTCTCTTCAGTGGGTAATACTTATTATTCTAAGATACGTTTATCAAAAGCAAGATTTTGTCACTGTTCACTAATTAGAATACGATAATGCACATTCGTTTTAAAATGCAGACATTTGTAGATAATTGAATTGGGCAGCATATCTCATTGCCTAGAAAGAAGACCGTGAATAGTTCAAATACTGAAATCAACCAGATAGTCTATACTCCATAGTTTGCCCCGCCTCGCCTTATTAAAAATTTTCAAAAATAACATTTTGTCGTGTCCTTCCCCGTCCCGCACCATTTAAAGTTTGACCTGCCTAACCCAGCCCCATTTAAGGTTTGCCCTGCTCCGCCCTGCCCCAATTGCCATCTCAAGATATCCCTCTTGAATGTGCAATGTAAAGTTCGTTATATGACAAAACATGAGAAAATTATATTGTACATATAAGGTAAAATTTATTTTGTATGTCTATATCTTATAGTTTTAATCCTCTTGGCACAACCCAAAAGCATAACTGAGTGGTGAAGGGGGTTCAAACCTTTGTAAGGTCATTGGTTCAATTCCCATTGATCACATTTTCTTTTATTTTAAACCCCTTAACGTTAATCCTACATCAGCCGATGGTTGGGGAATGTGGGACCTTATTAAATTGGTCACATTTTCTCTCTTGTTTAATGGGTTAATTTCATAAGAGATTACTCAATGTGTAGTACAATTTAAAATGCATAGTAGCTTTATGTTAACGGCAGTAAGTTTCTCAACTTTTTCACATGTCGAAGTTTATGAATAAAAATTAGATAAGTCGTTATTTCCATTAGCGTTAATACTATTCGGTTATATTTGTATCAGTTTTGTAACTTGTTTAACATTTATACTATTCAGGCTATGGAGTAAGATTATTATGTTATGGTATAAATATTTAGTTTCAATACTTATCATTTTTTATTTTTCCTCACTAATTGATTAGGATGCTAAGTCGATAGGATTAATATCCACGATAAAAAGAATAATTCAAATCAGAAAACATTTTCTCTTTTTATGTATTCAGATTTTATTTTACTCTATTGTAGTTGGAGGTTAAGGAGATTTCTATCGCTTTCATGGCAATCTAATTTAACTATATATAGTATTTTGTAAGCATGTGACGATCCGACCGGTCGTCTTAAGAATTAATGTCCCGATCCCTTATTAACTGCTTTCCCCAAGTTTATTTCTGCTATTTTGATTTGCCGGGATGTTCGGTTTTGAGTTTCGGAGAGTTTTGGGATACTTAGTCCCTAAATGAGAGCTTAAGTGTTGGAAAGTTAACTGTAGTCGGAGCAATGTGAAGACGGCCTCGGAATAGAAATCTGATGGCTCTGTTAGCTCCGTTAGGCGATTTCGAGCTTAGGGGCGTGATCGGATTGTGTTTTGGAGGTCCATAGCTAATTTAGGTTTGGAATGCCGAAAGTTGAATTTTTGAAGTTTCCGGTCCGATAGTGAGATTTTGATACGGGGGTCGGAATGGAATTCTGAAAGTTGGAGTAGCTCCGTAGTTCGTACCATGGCCGCCAAGTTCGTACTCGTACGAGGCCATGGTGATATCCATGGGCGGTCGAACTTGGCGGGTAAGATATTAAATATCAACCCCGAACAGCTATCAAGTCCCAAATCTTGGCTGACTTCGTGGATGATTTTACGCTGACCCTCATACCCGAAGTAGAAAAAGAACTTTTGTTGGGATCGGGTACATCATCGAGGGTATAGATCCTTTTCATGGATGGTGCCTCGAATATGAAAGGGTCCGGGCTCGGCATCGTATTGAAGCCACCAACAGGTAGTAATATTAGACAATCTATCAAAACTTCAAGATTGACTAACAATGAGGCCGAGTACGAGGCCATGATTGCAGGTCTCGAGCTAGTTAAGCGCATGGGGGCAGAGGTCATTGAGGCCAAATGTGACTCTCTATTGGTGGTGAACTAAGTAAACAAGAGTTTCGAGGTTCGAGAAGATAGAATGCAGAGGTACTTAGACAAATTACAGGTGACGTTGCACCACTTCAAGGAATGGACTCTGGATCTTATGCCTCGAGAGCAAAATAGTGAGGCCGATGCGCTTGCAAATCTGGGATCGTCGGTCGAAGAAGACGACATTGTCTCGGGGACTGTCATTCAGCTATCGAGATCCGTGGTCGAGGAAGGTCATGCCAAAATAAATTCCACGAGCTTGACTTGGGATTGGAGAAATAAGTATATCGATTATTTGAAAAATGGAAAGCTCCCATCGAACTCTATTTTTTACTAATACAATACCCCCAGGTAATCTAGGGAAAGTTTATAAAAAAAAAAAGGGTTTGAGTAATTTCAAGAACTAGAATAAAGTCTAAATCGTTTTTAATTAAAACTATACTCTCGGACTAAAGGAATTTTATTGTATGTTGGTTTCTGATGTTGTAACTTCTAATTTATTGGGGGAAAAAAGCATGAAGCTTTATTCTTTACCTCTGTCTTTGTGTTACCATTTACCAGATTTAATGTGAAATAATAAAATAAATATGGAGAGATGCGGATAAATATATTGCTTACAAAATACTATATATAGTTAAATTAGATTGTCATGAAAGCGATAGAAATCTCCTTAACCTCCAACTACAATAGAGTAAAACAAAATCTGAATACATAAAAAGAGAAAATGTTTTCTGATTTGAAGTTTTCTTTTTATCGTGGATATTAATCCTATCGACTTAGCATCCTAATCAATTAGTAAGTGAGGAAAAATAAAAAATGAGAAGTATTGAAACTAAATATTTATACCATAACATAATAATCTTACTCCATATCATGAATAGTATAAATGTTAAACAAGTTACAAAACTAATACAAATATAACCGAATAGTATTAACGCTAATGGAAATAACGTCTTATCTAATTTTTATTCATAAACTTCGACATATGAAAAAGTTGAGAAACTTACTGCCGTTAACATAAAGCTATCGTGCATTTTAAATTATACTACACATTGAGTAATCTCTTATGAAATTAACCCATTAAACAAGAGAGAAAATGTGACCAATTTAATAAGGTCCCACATTCCCCAACTATCGGCGGAGGCAGGATTAACGTTAAGGGGTTTAAAATAAAAGAAAATGTGATCAATGGGAATTGAACCAATGACCTTACAAAGGTTTTGAACCCCCTTCACCACTCATCTATGCTTTTGGGTTGTGCCAAGAGGATTAAAAATATAAGATATAGACATACAAAATAAATTTTACCTTATATGTACAGTATAATTTTCTCATGTTTTGTCATATAACGAACTTTACATTGCACATTCAAGAGGGATATCTAGAGATGGCAATTGGGACAGGGCAGGGCAAACCTTAAATGGGGCAGGGCAGGTCAAACCTTAAATGGGGCGGGACGGGGAAGATTTTAATGGGGCGGGGCGGGGAAGGACACGACAAAATGTTATTTTTGAAAAATTTTAATAAGGCGAGGCGGGGAAAACTATGGAGTATAGACTATCTGCACTATAAGAAAAATGGCCCTTAAGGAAGGGAAATATGATCCCTAAAGATCAAAATTTGATCCTAATAGAACAATTGCGACGGGAAAAAGCCGGTCGCCACCCGTCGTAATAGCTTCAGCCGCTAAAGCTCAATAGTGACGGGTTCAGAAACCTAGTCGTTAAATGTTTTTAGAGACGGAAGAAAAATCTAGTCGTTAAATACTTTTAGAGACCACATCTCTCGTCCCTGTAGATAATTAATATATTGTAAAAAATATATATTTGCCCGTCGTTAAACAGTTTTAGCGACCAGCCTTCTCCTCCCTAATAGACAATAAATATATTATGGAAAATATATATTTTTCAGTCGTTAACCAATTTTAGCGACCAACCTTTAACTGGTCGTAGATTATCTTTTAGAGACGAGTAGCACTGGTCCCTATTTAAAATAATTGTAGTAACTATAACGACCATATTTCTGGTCTCTTATTAACCACAAGTAGTCTTAAAGCTCGATGTCACAAAACATTAATTTTTATCAATAAATATCAAATTGCTATATAAAAAGTTATTAATTACAATGGTGACATCCCATGATTTTAGTTTCAATATTTGCTCAACACCTTAGCAAAAAAACATAGCTAACATCCTAAGCTAGACTATGATATCATGTTTTACATAATATTCCTAGAAAAATAATAATGAGCTTGTGTTTCTTCTAAACTTGTATCTTGACTTGTAGCTTCAATCTTCAAAACCTATAAGTACAAAATTTTGAAACGACGATGAATAACTATTGATAAAATAATATATGTAAATTTACACTAGAAATGGTTAAATCGTTTACCCCAAAAGCAGTCTAAATTCATCAGGTGTTATCCAGCAACATGAACAAGGCTACAAGAATATAAGAAAATTAATTATAAAAGTATTGGAACGGTAAATTAAACTTCGATTCCATATTAAAAGAAGAGGAGAAGGTTTATTTTGTTATTTTGTATAAGTCCAGCTACTTTCACCAGAACATATCATGTGTCGCGGCAAGTGCAACTAACTGAATATATTCTCCTTCTTCCTTCTTATTTTGCTATGTATGTTTTTTTTGCCTTTTCCAAAGTTAAAGTCTACATTCTTCATCAAAATTTGCTGGAATTGGCAATTTAGGCTCTTCGAGTAACAAGTCACACATGAATCTTGAAACAAGAAACAACTAATTATTTGTACATATTACTACTCAAGGACTTAAAATCAATGGCAGAAGCAAAAAAGGCAGACAAAGTAATTGCACTTCAAAAATATTTTATTGATAATATTACTGCTATAGACACTTGTAGGGAAGAATTCCGAGCATGATGTGTCTTAGTTTTTCTCTAGATATCTTATGGTGGCAAACATTCTAAATAACTCCATCTTTGCCTCTTAAGATAGTGGAACCAGAACAATTCTCCTCTCAGTCAACCTCGAGTTACTTCGAGTCAACCAGAACTTCGAGTTACTAGAAGGATATGAAAGGAACAGCAAAATCCAGTCAACCTCTTTTAGTTTTCATAACTATTACTCCTTTGTAAAAGAAGTTGCAATTCATGAACACTTGATCAACTTACAAAAACTATAAGAGCAAGACCTCTGGCATTTGCCGGAAAGTTTTGTGCCGGTTACTTTGCTGCAAGGAATTGCAAATTTGCTTTGAACTTTACGAGATTATTCATCTTTTCCCCTCTTGTCTTACTTATCTTTATGTAAAAAGGTGAAGAGCTCCCCCACTCCAAATTCTTTTAGAATAGTATTTTCAACATAGCTGGTCTAGTTAATACTACTACAAACAAGAATTAGTCTCAGAGTCACAAAACATGGCAAAGTTAATTCAGAAATATCCTTAAGCACAGTACAATTTACTTTGTCTAAGCATATATAGTACCACAGAATACAGGTTCTTTCGTCCTTCTCTCTTTTTACTTGTTTAAAATTTCTTTAGAATAGTATTAATTCTGCATCAACTTACATATGAGTTAATATTCTTCCTAAGTTCCTAAGAGCATCTGCTACAAAAAAGGAACCATTATTGGGGAGTTTGAAGGGAATTTTCCTCCACCAAACATGACAGATAAACAGGAGTATAAAACTCGTAGTTTACTCGCTAGCATCATTACTCAGTGGACGAGCCTTTCTATTTGTACCAGTTGAGTTGAGTGCGTCTGCCCATAGTTTTTAATTTGAAGGAATATAAATTCATGGATGCAACAGAGATAGCAATAAGACAGAAATGACTATAAAAATCAACAAAAAAAAATTAAAAACAAGGTCTATGGTTACTAACTTGATCAGTAGACAAATAAAGTGATCATTCAGTTGAAACGAGCGATGTCGTAGGCGAGACATGTGATTGTTGAGCAGCAAAGAATTCCTTTATTTTCTTCATTTCTTTCATCTCATCTTCTATGGTAGACAAGTGATCATGTAAGGATTTGTTTTCCTCACTCAAAGATTTATTTTCCTCTCTAGTAGAACGCAGAGCGGACAGTAATTCAACCTTTGAAGAAGTGCCACCTTTCATGTCTTTCGCCGTTACTCCACCCCCAAAGCCAATACATGGCTACGAGTTTGAGGTCCATAATATTTTTCTACTATCTCTATGCTAGGTAGAGATGGATCCTATTGAACTATTTCTTCAATCTGAGCTTACAAAACATACGAAGAAATATTTTATACCAGAATCCATATCATTGTAATTAATTTACATATTTAATTTTCCGAACATACATATTTTTCAATTGCTTTAGGTTCAACAAGCTTGTTATTTTTCTTACGAGTCTCAAAGATAATTATTGCCAAATCTGATGGATTGCAGTTTTTTCCGCCCTTCACATCAAAGGCAAACATGTCAAAAGACAACTCGTAAATATTTTCTTTAAAAAAATAGAGATTTTATGATAATACCTTTTAATAAATTATCTCTCGAATAGGTTTGCTACCAATATGATGAAGCACTTTCAACTTAGATCGGTTTGCTGCATTCTTGATGCTTCTCGCCTTTGTGAAACAATAAGCTTAAATATAATTATTATAATAAACTTAAATAGTATACTTAGGTTTGATTCTAGGTATAGCAGAAAAAAGATATATGGTGCTAGGGAGGGGAATCAAACTACAGATGCTTTGGCAAAATAGAATATTAAATTACTGGGCATACCTGAAAATTTTCTGAAGAAAAATGTTCCTTTACTAACCACTCTCATTCTTTCTTGTCTACTCCCTTTAGAAGATTCTTAAGAGCCTGATAGATTAGCTTATCCTTCACATATTTGACATGTAAGTGTCCTCTCCATTTGTTCCATAACTCTTTCATCTATCCCAATATATGATCATGATGATCAATCATGTCAACACTCTCAAATTTATCCTACAATAATCAAAATATCCATTGAGTTAATGCATTACTGTGGAGTCCATACCTACTACATTGAATAAAAGAAAAAGAAAGAGGAGTGATTGACTCACCTACTACATTGAATAAAAGGAAGAGGAGTGATGGATGGAAGAAAAAAACTTCAGATTTTTCAATATTGGGCTGCTAGAATTTGCACATTGATTAACCAATCAAATTGGTTTGGTTGGTGAAAATGTGTCTATAAATAGCAGGCTTTATTTCTCCTTTAAACACACCAAAATAAGAGAGAAACAATAAAAGTTAGAGAGAGTAATCCACAGATTATTGTCTGTGAGATAACTAGTGAGTAGTAGTATNCGGATTTGGTGTTTTATATAAAGAGTGTTATTTCTTCCAAAGTTGTAGTAGTCTTTTGACACTACTGAGTTGTAATATTATAGTGGTAATATTGCTACACTCGGATATTGTATTTTATCCCGCTAAAATATTTGGTGTCATTATTACTCTCTTGTGTTATTATTATTTCCTGTGGATATTATTCCTGGGCGGGATTATTTATTTTATCCCAACAACGTGGTATCAGAGCCATGGCAAATAATGGTCTGCTATCTTTTCAATACCCCCGTCTAACAAAAGATAATTATGAGAAATGGTGTCTACGTATGAAAGTCATCATTGGCTCTCAGGATGTATGGGAAATCGTAGACAGAGGGTATGCAAAACCCGATAATGAGGAAGCTCTGCCCCAAAATGAAAAAGAGGTCTTGGCAAAGACAAGGAAGAAGGATCAACAAGTCCTCACGCTCATCCACCAATGTTTGGATGATGCCATGTTTGAGAAGGTGGCAGATGCTACCACCTCAAAGGAAG